TCACAAATTGATATAATAATTCGTTTGCCAGCTACTTGAAGTCGTTTAGCATGTAAATAACAGGGTCGAATAGAGAATTGATTATCATTTCCAATTCTTTCAAATGTAAAACTTGAACATGAACGTGAAGATTCTTGTCGATGTGTGGAAAGAATGGATGAAGATATCCAATGTTCTTCATTATCTTCATATGGTATTAAAACAGTTAATCGACGTTGTGTTCCTTCATTATATAGTTCATATTCTCGTGTACATTCATACATATCAATTTGTTTGATTGAAAAAATACTATCACGATGAAGTTTTTCTGACATTATGCATAAATCATCTTTACTATCTGTAAGCCATCGACCTGTTGATACACATTCAATCATATATAAACCATTCGATAAATAACTACTTTCAGAAAATCGTTTTAATAATATTAAATCATTTAAAGATGTAATATTTAGAATAAGAGATGATGTTAATGGAATTGTTCGATAATTTTCATTGTCACATCTATTTACTAAACGAATACTTATATCTTCATCAATTATTTGATTATTATACATTAAAATTAATGATATTAATTGATGATGGATTAAATAAGTAGCATATTGACGAATATCTTCTAGATGTGTTTGACAATATATATTAAGTATTTGTAGATTAGGACAATAATTTTGAATAGATTTCAAATATGTTGATAAACAATATGGGTAACCAATTGATAAATATCGAAGTTTATATCCAATTGATGGTAGAAGTGTTGTTAAACAAAATTGAAAAATATTTTCATTATTAATATTTGTTAAATTCAATTCTTGTTTAATATAATATTTAACAGCTGATGTTAAATTATCATTTAATCCAAAGAATGCATATCCAATATGTTCTTTATTAAGATATTGAAATATTAAATAAAATATTTCGGGTGGAAGATTTATTAACGACGATAATGGTGCCATTAAAAAATATGTGCTGATCAATACTTGCAAATCACAGCACTTAAGAATACAATTTATTCGCTGCACACGAGGTTACCACGTGGGAAGGAATAAATATTGACAGATGTAATGTACTGATAACCTTTGTATCGTTGAAACGTACTTTGATATGAATAGAAAGCGGAGGCGCAGAAAATAAAATATTTCATAGCAATCTTTTTACTTTTATTATTGATTTACAGACATCACATGTCGACATTAGTCTAACAAGTACAGATTAATTTCTATGCAATATGATATTCTTATCAAAAAGTAGACTAATACTTTTTTTTATATATAAAATCTTTAATAAACGAAGTTTTATTTTTTTTTGTGTTGTAATCAAGATAATAATAAGAAAAAAGTAGGACGACTATGTTATGTTTTGATAAAATATAAAAATAACTAAGTATTTTTTTTTATTTCGTAATTGTCTACATATGTTATAAATTCTAAAATAGCTATTTTTATTAAAATATAATTATGATAGGTTAATCATATGGTAAAAATTTAGAATGTTGTTCAGTATGTGTAGTATCGAATATGAATTTATCATGATTTGTATAAATAAGCCATGTTTGATTTTCATACTTATAATAAACGGTATACGATCGTTTACCAACAAAAACATCGAGACCATTTGCTTTACCATATACTGTTGTAATACGATCATGATGACAAACGGCATTGATATTACCTTTACATGCTATATCTATATTTTCTTCATTATCATTGAGTCTAATTTGAACAATGCAAGTTCCATCTAATTATATATACTCATTTCATTTCTTTCCATTGAGTTGAGTTGAAAAGTGTTTTCTATTCATACTTACTAATATACTGGTCTGTTCCACAGTACGTCAATATCTATAGAAATCATTCATCTTTCTGTATTTCGTTTATCTATTCAATACACATGAATTATTCTTTTTATTGGAACAGAAAGAATAATTCAAAATACTGTGTAAACATATTTCTCTCTCTCTTCATTACTTTAAACAGCCTGTTGAGTAACCGTTATTTTTCTTACCTAACACAGAAAAACTCTATCTTGTTCAGATACAATAATTCTATATCGTAGAGATCTTTTTCTACAATACATATCCATTGATATGTACTGTTTATCTTACCGATGGTTGTTACCACCTATTTGTGTCTCAACAAGATCAGAGTTTTTCTATGTGCGCGTGCATTTAATACAATTCTTTTCTTGTTTAAAAAGTTTATTTTTTCTTGCATAAAACCAAAATTTATAACAATACAATTTATTATTTATTTTTTACATCTTCGAGGTTATTTCTATAATATTGAAGATGAGGATGATTTGAAGGTAATGATTGCTGCGCAATCTGTATAGCATGTTCATAAAATGTATGGGCTTTTGAGTAGTTATCCATGTTTTCATACGCCATGCCAATATTGTTGTAGGACATAGCCAAATTAGGATGACTGGGTGGAAGTGATTGTTGTTGAATTTCAAGGGCTTTTTCATGAAATGAAAGTGCGTTCGGATAATCATTCATATTGTTATGCACTAAACCAATGTTGGCATAGGAAGAAGCCAAATCAGGATGATTGGGTGGAAGTGCTTGTTGTTGAATTTCAAGGGCTTTTTCATAATAAGAAAGTGCTTTCGGATAATTATTCATGATTAAATGCACTGCACCAATGTTGTTATAGGAAGAAGCCAAATCAGGATGATCGGGTGGAAGTGATTGTTGTTGAATTTTAAGGGTTTTTTCATAAGACGAAAATGCTTCCGGATAATTACCCATCTTGGCATGCACACTACCAATGTTCCCGTAAGAAGAAGCCAAACTAGGATGATTGAGAGGAAGTGATTGTTGTTTAATTTCAAGGGCTTTTTCATAATAAGAAAGTGCTTTTGAATAATTACTCATGTTGTTGTGCACATTACCAATGTTGTTGTAGGAATAAGCCAAACCAGGATGATGGGAATGAAGTGATTGCTGTCGAATTTCGAGGGCTTTTTCATGAAATGAAAGTGCTTGCGAATAATTGCCCATGTCGTCATGCACATTCCCAATGCTGTTATAGGAAGAAGCCAAATCAGGATGATTGGAAGGAAGTGATTGTTGTTTAATTTCAAGGGCTTTTCCGTAAGATGAAAGTGCTTTCGGATAATTACCCATATCGGAATGCACTAAACCAATGTTGGTGTAGGAAGAAGCCAAATCAAGATGATTGGGAGGAAGTGATTGTTGTTGAATTTCAAGGGCTTTTTCATATAATGAAAGTGCTTGCGAATAATTGCCCACGTCGGCATGCACATTCCCAATGTTGTTATAGGAAGAAGCTAAATCAGGATGATTGAGAGGAAGTGATTGTTGATCAATTTCAAGGGCTTTTTCATAATAAGAAAGTGCTTTTGGATAACTAGCCATGTGGGAGTGCACTGCGCCGATGTTTCTGTAGGATTTAGCTAAATCAGGATGATTGCCCGGAAGAGTTTTTTGTCTAATAACAAGTGATTTTTCATAAAATGTAAGTGCTTCTTCATATTTTCCTTTAGCATCTTTGATCCGCCCTAGTTGATGATAAATATCTGCCTGGTCTTTATCATCTGTTGCTTTATCAAGCAGAACTTGATAAATGTCTTCAGCTTTATCAAATTGACCTATTTTAAATAGTACCGAACCCAATCTGTACCATCCCTCTGCTTCTGGAAAGCTCTCTTTTCGAATGTACTCAGTAAGTCTGCTTAATTCTGGATCGTTGTCAGCAGTAAGTGTCAAATTAACTTCATATAAACGATTATTTCCACCCATCTGTTTAATATCCTGAATACGGAACACGCTATTCATCGAAAACAAGACTTCCTCTTCCTTCTTGAAGTCACTAATACTAGCAATCGAAGCAAATGGTGTTGTTGATTGAGCGGGATTAATTTTCATGATAAAAAGTACACCCATTTGATCTGGATTTGTTGCAGCATCTTGAGCAAAATCTAGTGAAACTTTGCGAACCGTACTGGTAGATAAGAAGTTATTAAATGAGATAAGACCACCTTTAGTTTTGCTCATTTGTTCAAAATCTCCTGCAGACAAACCTTGACCACGATAAACGGTAAGGGTGTCTGCAACAGTTGTACCAGCATACTGTTCCTTGTACAATTGCTCAATCTGTCGATGTAAACCACTAATGAGGAAACCCATACGTGTAATGATATCACCATCCATCAATCGTAGTGCACGATTGAGCATGGGATATAAGAACATGTCACAGCTGTACCAATAAATTGGTGTTTTCTTGTGGTATTCAAATTCTAATCGTTTAATATTTTCGATTTCTTTTATATTACCTACAAAAGCATCACGACAGTGATCAAAATAATCTTGAAGGTGGTTTTGGTTGAATGTGATGGTTAATATGATCTTCTTGAGAATCTGAGTGTACATAAAAGAAGGATCTAATTGATCCAAATTTTTATTTGATCCCACAAAACTCATGGGAATAGCATTCTGCTCACATTGATGGGCAGCTGCCTTGAGTGCCTCACAGATGGGTGTAATATCAGTGAAGACAGCCTTTATTTTGGACCAATTTTTGGCCCATTTTTTATGGTGTTTTCTATTGTCACAAAAGATAAATATTGAATCAACTTGAGACATATTGTGCACGCGAGGCACAATCTGTTTTCCAAGTGATCCAGATATAATCATGCATACCTTTTTGTCGACGACTGTTTGAATGAATCCAAGGCATTCATCATCATTTGTATATGTGTTGATGTCATTAACAACACGTTGTAATTTTGTGATTGTATTTTGACAAGCATCACTTGCTTCGTCAATGTTACTGTCTAACCAGATTAGAAGAACATTTTGTACTTGTTGAATATTGGTACGTCGACGACCTTCGGCATCTTTTGAAGCTGTAGATGTGTTTGTTGTTGATTTTTCTTTGTTCATCGTTTGCTACGTGAATAGTTTGAATTGGGGTTACTGTGTAAAATTTACTAGTGAGCTATTAATGAAAAAAGATTCTTTTTATATGTGTCTATTTCCTTTCGAAATGTTTTATCTTAAACTGTTTATCTTATTGCTATGCAAAAAACAACAAATAAAGGACGAAAAAAGTAAACTGGTGAGATGTTGCTATATCTCTGTCAAACATCGAGATAGCTACAAACAATATTTGCTTTATTTTTTTGATGGAGAAAAAACGTGTAGAGTCATGTTTGTTATTGCAGAATCTTAAGTAAAAAAAAGTATTTATAATGGTAAATATTGGCTGAATTACACAAGTTGATAACATAATTCGTCATCGCGAATTAGTAAGCATGAAACTTAAAAAGAAGTGTTTAAACTAGCTTTTATTATTCCCCCGCTGTATTTTGTTCACTGAAAGCCTGTATGTAATCATTATATAGATGACAAAGATAAACTTGGAATAAAAGTGCATTTGTCATTAACAAACGTAAAGAAAATAAATGAAATCGACAGAAAAAGTCTTCGTCATGTCTAAATCTTCTTTAGATTTTGGCAGGCTCTCTTGCAAATGTAGATGTGGGTGAGTGTCGGTTGATTCAAAATATCACACCCACACCCAGAATTATATTAAATTATCACTGTTATATTAGAAATTCAATAATGGATCTCCCTAAAACAGATGTATATGAGAGGAACTAATGAGACCTCTTATTTTCTTTACCACTTTATTTTGATCCAAAGAATTCAATTGGGTTAGCGTTTGTGAAACTATCCGATTTCTTCTACAAAATCTTGTCATTTATTAAATATCTGATACTCATTGATCCGACTGGTTATTTGATTGAAAAAATATATGTAATTTATTTTCAAATTGAAACTAGCTGGAGGGTGTGGATATGAATTTAATACCATACCTGCAAGATTTTATAGAATATGTTAACGATTGATTTTTTAACTCAGTTTTTTTGATTTAAAAGTAACAGAATAGTATGGTTATGAAAAAAATATAAATTAGACGAAAAAAACAATGTTTATGAATACGAATAAATATGTGCCAACAGAAGAATCGTTCACAATTTTTACTTGATTTTACTTTTTTGATGACACTAATATAATAGTACATTTAACATTATAATAAAAAGAAATAGCATACTTTTTCTAATATAGATTTTATACTTTAAATTTTATTTGTTGTTCATAATAATCACAGGTAGAAAAATATTACTTTTCTTCTTGAATTATAATATGTAAAACAATACATTCTAAACTTTTTCGTTTATGTATCATTATTTTTAAAGAGTAAAGACAAGAGTATTGAAAGTAAGCGTATGATTACATTTATATATAAAAAAAATCACCCGATCAAAATATATAATCTGACATTTCAAAAACAAAAGAAATGCGGAATACACTCATAAAATAACTATTCTTAATTAATTTATTTATTTTTGAATATTTTGAATTAATTGATCATATTTTTCTTTAGTTTGAATATATTTTTGATATGCATCACTTAGTTTAGTTTCACCTTGAGTTTTTATAATCGGTTTTTCTTTAAGACTTTCACTGTATAATTTTTGCCATTTTCGTTTTTCTACTTCCAATCGTTCACTTTCTTGTTTAAAATCTAATGTTAAACGTTGAAGACGAATACGTTTTTTTGCTACTTTCTCCCATTCAGCAGCTAATGAACTTACAAGTTGTTCATGTTCACGTTCTAAACGTTGTGTCATATCATTATGAGTTGATCGAATTTGAGCCATTTGATCATCGATTGATAAAATTGGTATCGATGGTGAAACAGTATCTATCATTTCATTATCAATATCAAAATTAGATCTAAAGAAATATGAATCATGAAATTAAAATCATAAAATATTTATTATACTTCTGTTGTAATCCAGTAGGATTTCTAGCTAGATTTTCATCAGTACATTTCTCAATTTCAATTGATTGGTTTCCAATAAAATGAGGTCTCGATAGACAACATATATCAACTGGATCATAATCATCAAATTTTACTAAAACTGTTTTATTATCAAGTCTTTCAAAATGTTCAATTTTACCACCAGCATGTGATAAATATTGAATAATTGATTTATCATCAGGTAAGCTATCATCGATTTTTTCTGATTGAAGTCGCACAAGCATTTTTCTGGTACTAAAAAATGGTTCCGTCGGATATTTTGTATTAATTGGTAAACATCGACGTACAAATAGCTGACAATCACCCATAACAAACGGTCGTGCAGCCATTATTTCATCGACACTTCCCTGATCTGGAAAAACAAGAGTAACCAATGGATTGGGTAAGCTAATTGGTGAATCTTTAGCAACACGACGTTTTAAATAGAGATTCATAATAGTACCAAATTGTTCAAAGAATTCACTTATTTCCCTAGCAGTTATTCCAAATGGCAAATTTTTAATACAAACATATCTACAAAATTGTTCTGCGGTTTGATTATTATCATTTGCCATTGATTAAAATACAAATCTAGAAAAATTTTTAACGAAATTATTACGTTAAAAGACATTTCAAGTTAGTATGATAGTTATTCATTATGAATCACATGTTTGTTCGTATATATGATTTTTATTTGATTGATTGATTCAATAGTTTTCAAAAGAATTCGCCTAACACTATTTATCTATGACTACTTTTTGTTCTTTATGAATCATCAGTCAGATTGTTAAAAATAGATGTATTATATTTCGATTAGTCAGTTTTACGTATTTTTTTTAAGACGTCATGTAATATGGCGTACACCTCTTTTTTTTAATTATTGATATAACAATCTGGTTCCCTTATATATATAT